CTCGACAAATGACAGGGTACTTTCACACCAGGATTCCTAATAGCGTAGTCTACAACGAAACCAATCGACCACAACTCGCCTCGGAGTCCTTCAGAAACCTTCAGATCAAACTCCTAACTGATGTATTTGTTGCCCCAATAACAGATCCCATTCATAATCCGCAGCGTTCAGGGACAGAATAATAACCAAGGGTCGAAGAAGAGGCAGGGGATCAGGGTGGTTAGAGGTCACCACTAAAATAGAATTTCCTTTCATTTGGTAATCTGACCACGCCGCTAGATTCCCTCACCACCAGTATATAGCCATCAAGCGAAAGCTCTGCTCTCTTTCTTCTGGGCACGCGCCAAAGTGCGCCAGACCACAGCGCGCACGGCACTAGCAAAAAACATTATATGATACCATACTATACTATCTTCTGTTATATTGTATTGTATTCTTCTACTTTGTCATACTATATTGTAACTAATATTTTATATTGTAGTACATTGCATTACATTATATTACATAAAATAATACTATACTTTGTGTTACTTCTGTATATACATGGTATTTCTATTTGTGCTGTATAAGCTTCCACCGACATGATCTGCCGTTTTTCGGCTCTGGAAAACCTTCACACCCCGTGTCCACGGAAACTACGCAACCGCAACGGACATATATTCCGTCGTCACCTCTTCCCGTCCCAGCCAGGTTATCCAGGTTCTCACCACAAAAAAATCAGTCCAATACTCCAGTCGGGTCGGCCCTGAGACTGCTTAGAGACCGGAACCATTGATCAGCCTCTGCGATTGGCAAAGCCGCCAACCATTCACACACTCAAACCGCTTGGCTCAATGATTCTGATGTCATGGTAATGCAAGCTATGCAAGGTCTAAGGCGGCTGTAACACCCGCAATTTCTCATGGAAGTCGCACGAAGAAATGCATCTCATACGCACACATATCTAGATAAACACCATATATACCTGCATCACATACATCTACATCATATACATACAAGTATATATATATACATATATATATATATGTGTGTGTGTATGTATGTATTTGTTTATTTGCTTATTTATTTATCTATGCATTTATTTATCTAATTATTTATTTATATATACACACCTACATCTACATCTACGTCTGTGTTTGAATTTATATATGTATATATACACATCTAAAACATACATGTATACATATGCTCTCTCATATACATAAACATGTACATGTACAGGTACTTGCATGTGTGAATACGTTTTGTTCACATACATAGTTGGGTATGCGCATGTTGTTCTGAATACAGTCTACCTGCCTGCCTACCTGCCTGGCTGCCTGGCTGCCGGCCTGCCTAACTACGAATACATAATCCAATACATACATACACGCCTCCAAAAGACTAAGCCGAATTAGCCAAGACTACAGCACAATTGGGGCCTTTCAAGTTAAAGGTGCCTTTAAGGGGTCGCTTGAGGGTAGAGGGATGGAAACCTACTCCTAAGTGCTTAACCTGTATCGGGTCGGAGTGGGCCCTAGTTCCCTTCCAGGGGTCTGTTTGCCCCGCCTTTTTTGGGGGCTTTGCTTGCTCAGGGGACTCCCTCTCTTTCTCGCTCTCCCTGCCTCTGTTGTTAACCGGGATCACGCTTATGTGCATATATATATATATGTATGTATGTATGTATGTATGTATGTATGGATATACAGATATACAGATATCCAGATATATAGATGTATAGATATATAGATACATAATACATAGATATGTGGGTATACATACATATGGGTATATATATATATATGAATATATATATATATAGATAGATAGATAGATAGATAGATGGATAGATAGATAGATAGAAAGAGAGAGAGCGAGAGAGCGAGAGAGAGACACGTATGAATGTGTGTGCGTGTGCGTGTGTACGTATGTATGTATGTATGTATGTATGTATGTATGTGTATGTATGTATATATATATATATTGTGTGTGTGTGTGTAGAAAGCTATCCAAAATTTCCTGCATCGGTTTGGCATGGCTCGAACTTGCACTCTTATCTTACCTCGCCAGACAGCTGACTCAGCTAGAAATGGCAATAAGAAGCATGACATGTATTCACCGTCTTGGAAAAGCCCGGCCTTCCAACGGTACGGCTCCTGCACGCCCAGTGGCTCAAATATCGAACGGGCACTGATCACAGGGATGTCTTCGAGCTCACCTTGCAGCTCACCCTCACCGTGACCCCTCTACAAATGCTCAACAGTCATGGAGAAGGACCGCTCATCTCGACGTGAGCAGCACGTAGCATTCTCGAAATGATGTGCACTTGCGCTTGCAAGAGGCAACCGAAGGCCCAGCTCAGGAGTAGAGGCATGAAGCGGACCGCTGTCTCGTGCACCCAGCCGAAGCCAGAGTTCGTGATTATGACCACCTGGCTGAGATCAGGCATACACATGCTGTAGCTGAAAGTGCATTACCCTGCCGGTGCTGCATAGAAACAGAAGAGCAGTAACGATCCCTTTTGTGAGAGCAGGGTTCATAGAAAGTCAAGGATGTCTTCGAAGCTGGCTCGTGCCCGTGCAGGCATACTGCAGCTCCGAGGGGTCTTCAAATTGGACTGCGAGCGCGCCAGTGTATTCACAGGCGGCATTGCAGATGCAAGTAGACAAGCTGGCAAGGTCACGCCAGCTTCTGATGCACTCTTCATGTCTTTAATCAACCTCAGGATATCGGCAATGTTGGCTTGCATCTTCGCCGAATGGGCCTTGGCCTCCTTGATGTAGTTCGCCACGTCGGCCATTCGATCTCCCTTCTCAGCCAGGATAGCACCGGCGTTCGCAAGTTCATCTGCAGAATGCCGCACTGTTCGCAAGCTTCGGCCCAAGTTGTCCAGCAAGCTTGAAGCCTTATCCACCCGCTCTGTGGGGTCCGAAGGGATGTTTTGACCGAGGTCTGTGTGACTGAGGTCAGGCGGCTTCGCGACAAAGCATGATACGGCGCAAAGGCCCTTCATGGCAGGCTCTTCGAAACTCTTCTTTACGTCTATCACAAAACATGCATCACTTGTGCTGCCCTCTTCCCCTTACACTTTGTCTGCATGTCATCCTGCATGCTGGCAGATGTCCACTCGTTTGAGCCAGACTGCAGGATGAGTTCCTGTACGTTTCGAGGCGATGGCCCGTCAACAACCTGCCCACGCCCGTCGCCCTAAATCAAAGCTGGCACAGCAGGAAGCCTCCATGCGACATTACATGCAGGTTTAATCTGACAGGCTCGCCCTGCCGAACTGCTTGGCCTGCACACAAAGCCAAAAGAAGGCCATGCAAGCCGCAAGCCTAAATGGATCTGCTCGGCGCCTTCTGCAACGCCTGGAGGGCAGCGACTCCACAAGCCTCCAGGTAGGAGTCGAAATCCTGAGCTTTGGGGGACGAACCTGACCGTGTCCTAACCTCTGCATCGCGAGCTTGGCCCCCGGCCCAGTCGTTGAGCAGCCCGCAGGCCCGGGCTCCGCTGGTGGCGGCCTCACCCGGGTGGCCCGGCGCCGGCCTCGGGCAGGCGCAGAAAGAGGCGGCGCGGCCGGGACCGGTGTCAACCTCTGAGGTGCCGGCGCAATGCGCTTCGCTGCGACGAGGGCGGCGGTGGGCAGGATGGTATCGTCCTCAGCCAAGACATCAAGCACAGGCACTAAAAAGGCATACAAAAGGCAGCTGCCCAGTCGAACACCACCAGCGCAGAAGGCACCTCACTGTCCTGCCCAAGGCATGCAGCGTCTCGTCCACTGCGCTATCATGAACTCGATTGCTGCTGTCCCGCCTTGTTGTGCTCCCAAGGTCGCGAAACGACTGCCTCATGCCAGCATGTGCTCTGACCTAGTTTCCGGTTCTGTGTTGGGCCCTTGTCGCTGGGGGACTCACCTTGACCTTAGAGACAAGCATGCGTGGGACAAAAAGCATTCTTGGCCTAGCGCTTGTGGCTTCTCTCAAGCGCGCTGCAGCTTCCCACAGTTCTTCTCCTCCAGGGGGCTTGATGACCTCGTTTGAAAAGATGCCAGAGTCAGGCATCAGCACACTGTCTGTCTGTCTGTGTCTGTCTGTCTGTCTGTCTGTCTGTGTGTCTATTTGTCTGTTTGTCTGTTTTTGTCCGTCCGTCCGTCCGTCTGTAGCGAATCCCGATCGGCACGAGGGACAACAAGTCTCAGATCACGTCGCTTGGGCTTCAGAGTTAATGCAACGGCCGCCGCTGGCATGGCTCACACCAACAAAGTTCTGCGTCACTGGACGGGTGAATGTACCTCTTATGGTGCACGGGGGAAGGGCTACCTCGGCTGTTTGTAATTTTCAATCGCGCGCCCCCGCCATAAGATGAGAGATTCGGCATCTCGAATCTGGATGTTCTTTTCGTCGAAGTACATCCACAATCCTTGTCTCCAAAGCCTGATAGTTGCTATCGCTGCACCCTGGCCCCTTCACGAGCTCAGATTGAAGCGGAAGGGACAGCTCCCGCTGCACACGGGGTGGTATGCTTGTTTAGATGACTGATCTTGGCAAAGGCCGGCAGACGTGTCCGACGGTGCAACTGGCGGCCGGCTCCAATTCACTCTCTGCATTCTGTGACAGTCTCTCCCACGCAGGCGTCAGTCACTGAGCTTGCCACAGGTGCGGCAGCAGATGAGTTTGTGGGAGGGTCTGCTGGTTCCGGCACTCCTCAAACAAGTGGCAGGTGACGGAGCACAGTGAGTTTGCGGCCCGCAGTGCCAAACAGAATGTGGCACGACATTGCATCAAGCCATGCTGCACGTGCGCTCTCGGTCATCATTGTCCTACAGGCAAAATCTCAGGAGGCGGTCGTGCTGCCTCAGCGAGCATGTACCGCAGCGCCATTCCGCTTCCCAAGCTCGAGTCCCAAAAGCGTGGAGCTAGGCAGCCGGGCCAGCGTTGCCATTCTGCTTGCACGTGCACCTTTCGGCTCTCTGGAAGCTCATTGTTCTCTGAGGAACCAGCCTTCAAACTACGCCTGTGCTCTCATCCAAGTCGTTGCAGATCAGTGGCTCTGCTGGTTACATCACTGAGGATGCCACGCGAAGTCTGACAAAGTACGTTTTGAGGGCCTGTTTGCAAAGAGGCGGGATGCGGCTTGTGGCTGTGCAACATAGATGCATCTTGGGACCAAGCGCCACTCCAAGAGCGGGCGTGTCCTCAGCTAAGGAAGCAAGCGGCCTTCTGTCAGACTCGATACCAACAAGTCAAAATGAAAGCGCAAAGCTTGTCCTTTCGGACCATGGGCATGCTAAGCATGCCCATGGTCCGAAAGGACTAGCTTTGCTTGACACAAAACCGGCTTGCATCTGGCTGAGCATCTCGCTGCAGGCCACGCCCGAGCTGCTTCTATAGAGAAATTAGGATGAAATAAGTAAATGTCTTCTCGAGCCTGAAATCACAACGATCAGCAGACAGTCGCGGCGCCAACCGCCCAATTGCCATTGCAGCGGACCCGCTCGCAGATTCTTGTGTCGTTGCTTTGTGCTCACTTTTTCTGAGCCAACGCCTAGAGACATATCTATGGGCATATGCAATTCTTGGTGACAGCTGCGCCAACGGCAAGCTGTCACTCAACAAACAACGGTGAAGCTGTGCAAGAGGTCAAGTAAACACTTGGAGGTTCTTGGAGCCTGATGTTTTAGAATCTGTGAGCACCCTGAGCCCCCCGTCCGTCACAACTGGAGTCTGTACATGCTTGCGTTTCATGTCCACTCCCGAAGATCCGGCAGGTGTAGACAGGTACTTAGCGCTCGCATCTGCCCACAAGTCACTTCGTGAGTGCGGGCTCACAGCGAGTTGAACAACTCCTTTCGGGTCAATGCAATGCAAACCACGGCGCCGTGCACAAGCCATCACAGGGTCCTGGAAAAGAAGCCAGGCACTCACCGCACAAAATGCGACATAGATTCCAGGAGTCATAAACCTCGTCGGCCATCGGAGCGAAGGGGCTCGCACAGGGCCCGGCCAGCTGCTTCACTGTGTAAGGCACGAGCAAAGATGATGATAAATCCACTGCATCTAGTACCTCGCGAAGGACAGCGGCCATTGTCACGAAATTCTTTGCAAAGAACCTCAAAATCATTACCCATCCCGTCTTGGTGCCGGCACCACGCCATGTGGCCTGCAACAACCTCCAGCAGGCAGGCACATCAGCCGTGCAATTGCACGGGAGATTCTGAGATTCATGGGAATCAGAATTTACAAAGTCACAGGTTGTGCCCGAAATGCCATCAACAACAACTGTGGCTGCGGCAATTTGCCATCGACAGCCCACCGAGCGCAACACCTGCGCACGAATGCAACGCTGCGCTGCTCCGAGAAGTCCAAGCCCCATCAAGACAGGCGCACAGGCAGCAAGCAAGAGAGGCTGCCGCGAGCGGTGCGCCAACCTTAGAGCGTGGCAACTCAAGCAACGAGCCATGGCACTGCTTCTGCCAAGTATAATCATACAGCAATCAGAACTCTCATGCATACTGCTGATCTGCTGCAGCTGGGGCAAGAGGCCAAAAGTTTGTGAGCTGTGCGGTAGCAAGAGCCAGGACGGGAAGTTTTGCCTTTTGCCGACAAATCAAACCAGAGCAGGTCTCCAGCTAGCAAGTGCCAGCGGCTTCCAGCGCCTGGATGCCAGCGGATGCTGAGCGCCACCAGGTGCACGCTGCCCAGGAAGAGGCGGCCTCGACAGGATCCCTGGCCGCTGCCCTTCGCGACCCGTCTCCGAGGCAGCGACCCAGTTGCCGGCGGCCAGGCCGATCCAAACTTCCAGCACCTGCGAGCCGACTACTGCACCGAGGCAGCTACCACGGAGTCATCGCCTCCACCGACAGGTCTTTGGGAGCTGGCACTGCCTGGGCATTCTGGTTCTTAAGCTCTGCTTCCTCCCACTGGGCACGCGTGCACCCACCAACTGACATGTCTCCACCGTACTGGCTCGAGGCAGGGACGCTACCGAGGCTGTGCAGAAGCTTCTTCCGGGCACACAGCATGATGATGATGGCCATTGCCTCAGCTCAAGCAAAGCGAAGGACGTCTAGTTGCCACGGGCCTGTGTTTAAAGCAAGATCAGTGCCGAACCACATGAGCAACAACAGCAGCCCATCTGTATGCTGGCGGTCCTGCAGATGCCCACTGACTTAGTTCTCTTGGCAGCAGTGCTGCCAATGCAGCGGCGTTGACTTTACTGGCAGGTCCATGAATACCCCAGTTTTCGAACAGGAAAACCTCGGCACGGAACACTTGAAACCTGTGCGGTCATCAGTCGGGTTCAAAGCTCGTCACCGGAGCAAGCTGGGCCAGTGCAGCTGCAAGTCCCAAAGCCTCACAATGTCGGCCAAGGTAGGCGCTCGGAGCACAACACTCCCTCAGAGCAGGGTGGAGCCTCTTCCAAGCTTAGCTGCAAAGCGCTGCCTAAGATGCTGGTCTCCAGGCAGACCTGGCCACATGCTCGCAAATGGCGAGCTACACCACTACTCTGCAAAACGATTGCGATCGGCAATGCCGTGTTTCCATTCCCCACGTGTGGTCTCCAGCAAGCTTCGCGTCTGTACCTGGCGGCTGCAAGTTGAGCTTTCACTACGATCACAGGAGGCTGACGGGCCCGTCATTAATGACCAAGCATGCCGGACACGGCCATTTCTTCCGCATGTCGCCAAAGCTGCAGCGACGTCCCGGTCACTATCGCCTAGGCCACTGAAAGGCCGCGGCGCTTGGACGCGCTTCGGGCTGGGAACATCTGTTGATATCTGATGACTAGCATGGTCTTCCGGAGACTCGCATGAACACAAGGCCGCAAGGCTGTGGCAGTCAAGGCGGCGGATGCAACAGCTTCTCCTTGAAGCTGCTGTGCCAGTCCGTGCAGCCTGCGGTCAACTTCTGCCCTCTCTCAGCGTGCTGCACCGGGCATGTCTGGGCACCCTGCACATGCCGCAGCAAAGAAACGGCACTAAAGCAGGCCAAGAGCATCAACAAGAACCTCAGTACATGTGCGACATGCCAGGTGCCGGGCCAATCCACTCTCAGGATCTTGCGCGACTTTTTCACCCGTTGGATGCTGCGGGCGAGGTCCTGCCCTGACGATGGAATGCTGCGCGTGCTGTGGGCGAATATGCCCAGGTCGACAAGTCTGCGACTCTAGCAGGGAGGGAAGGCTGTCGCGACAAGTATGATGGCGGCATCACGGAGCTCAAATACTGTGCTTGCCGGACCAGCTCGTCGACGCCGATAAGTGCGGCCGTGGCAACATCGTTGAAGGAATTGGCTGCAGCCACCATGGCTCTTAACGCAGCATCTAAGTCACCACCAGCTGCAATGAGTCCGAGGCGATCTGCTGAAAACACTTCAGCTCTTGCTTTTGCTGCCCACAAACCCAATCCCCACGTGCCAAAACGTAGGCATCGCCGCAGCTGCCGCTCTTCACGGGGTGGCAGCGAGAAGATCTCAGCTAAAAGTCGTGGTGTCGCAGAACCGGCCACAGCTGCACCTAGGGCCCAGGCACCTCCTGGCGCCCGAAGTCGTGAGCAAACCGCAGCGACTGCAAACATTCCGTCGTCGGCATTCTGCACCGGCCATCCGCGCTCACCGGGCCCCCAAATATCGTCCACATCGAGGTCGGCAAGCCCAGGCCAGCGACCTGACCTCAGACCTCTGTAAACATCGCACACATCAGCTACAGCATCTATGAAACGCCTAACCTGCACACGCCGTTGCATCTCCTCTGGCGACGGCTTGAGCTCCGGATGCCCTGCCGGCCGAAGTCCAAATACATGCAGTGGTACAAAGACCATCTGGCGCACGAAGTGCTGGAGCGTCCATGCGGCAACTAAATCTCCGTGGTGCAGCCACGATCGGCCAATCTCGCGGCCCACGACAAACCGCAGGCCTGCATCTGACAGCTGTGTGACCAAAGCATCAGTGACAACTAGCATGCGCCGACGGCCAAATCTAGAGGGAAGGATCGCAACGTGGGGGCGACTGCTCCGAACCAGCAGAGGCTGTGGGCAGGCATTTTGGAGTTGGAAGAGGTGCTGCATGGTCATGCAGCTTTGTTGGGAGGCGCGCTCCAATGCCTCAGCAGGGCACAAAAGAAACAGCATGACATTTTTCCATAGGCACCACGTAGAGCAGGACCCCTCTCACCACATGCCTCGTGCAAGTTCAAAGTCCTTCCAGGTTCAAGGTCTCGGTCCAGTGCGGCCATGCTGGATTGCAGACGTAGCTGGAGACGAACCGGCCAGAACAGGATGGAGCCTTAACGAGTTTGGGTTAACAAAAGGTACTGTCAGTGGAAGCCCTGGGAGCGTTGGTCTGGATTGTTGACACGGCCCGGGCCCCAATCGCTTTTGAGGAACTCAGAAAGCACGCGACTGGCTCAGCCAACTGCCAAAATGGACTCAAAACAACGTCACCCCCACGATCCAGCGGATGTTGAACCTGCACCAGCGTGACCCAAAGGCTGCAAGGTGTTGTTGCCGGAGCTGAAACCACATCAGAATTCCGGCCTCGCGCATGTCGATGAAACACATGAAACCTGAGGAAGCCATCATAAGCCTCGGGGGCAACAGGAAGAAAGAGTCGCGGTTTCAAGAGTTGATCAGAACTTGAGGGATTTGAGGCTCAGGCCCGGCGAAGATGCAGAACCATCGCCGACTCTGTGCCGTGCTTTGCGTGCGTCGCCCTCCACGGAAGCTGCGAAACCAGGTCTTGGATCATGCCCGCTCCCGTTCGGACCGCGAGCCTCTGTGGGGATTTTGGTGACCATTCTCTGGCTTTCGCGTAGGCAGTGTGGCCATGCAGTGGCAGGCGCCCACCATCTTTCCCTCGTCGCACAGCACTGCCCTCGGGTCGTCAGCTGCAGTCCATGGCCGAGGCAGGCCAACCACGCCCCACCCTACTATGCCACCGTATTGTTGGTTACTGGATCATGCAATTGTCGACTGAATGCTTTCATGTTTTGAACTGAGCCGGCAGGATTCGACGGGCAGAATGCAGGATCGTGTTTGACTGCTGAGCCCGGAGCCACTTTGGAAAAGCCCCGGCTGCAGCCTCATCGACCAAAGCCGCAGGCCTGAAGCAGCTGCGAAACTGCTATTGCCGTGGGAAAACATTTGTAAGCGAGCAAGCATCAAAGGGGTCTGCACCTCGGACGGGGTTCACCTGAGGGTATCCAGTCCAAGTTGATCTTTCAAGCATCAGCAGCCACTCCAATGCACACCAGCAACGATGCCATGCGCTCGGTTTTCCTGACAGCATGCTCTCCAGCAACTCTAGTATATATACTGGGTGGCCTCTACCGGCTCCTTCCGAATTTGGGTGTCATTGAACCTGCTTCGAACTCGCACACGGTACTCCAGGTGAAACGGCTGTCCAGTACCCTTCATTCCGGAGAGAGGTCAGTGGGAAGTGCTTTATCAAACCAAACATCCTGTCGTGCGACTTAATGGTGGCAGTGCCATGGGGCTGCATTTCCACAGGAACTCTCACATGACTCAGCTGTGTCAAGGAAGCTCGCCTGACAAGGGCCGCTGCTCCCAAGCCCACTGATCATCAAGTTCACAAGTTGTCCATGACTGACTACATGAAACACGTATCCAGAATACGACTCAAACGCTCAAGCGAGCTTATGCCCAAGCGCAGAGGGCCGCTTTTTTTGAAACACTTGGAGCAAAACTGGACCCTAAGCCGAATGCTTGTGCAGCGGGAGGTGGAGGCCGATGCAAGAATTATGCAGATGCCCCTCCCCCCTCACTGACCTCAGCTGCGTCAAACCAAAGCTCAACACAGCCACAGTCCGCGCTTTTGCGGCCAGGCACCGGAGATGGATCGCCGGCATCATCATAGGCGGCAGCCTCCGACTCGTCTCCCCTGGCAGGGCGGTCGTCCTCCGCGAGAAGAGCGTAGATCTCGGCCTCGGTTCGGAAGCTGCATAGACTGCACAGATGTGGCAGAATCTCGCGGAAGAGCGCTGAGACGCCTTGCAGTCAAGACACCATGACCTCATCAGGAGGATTCTCCTTGTTCTTGACGGCCAGGGAGATTGCTTCCCTGAAAACTCGCACCACATTCGTCCCATCAGCTGACGAAACCTCGGGATGCGAGGGTCACGGTGCTGCTGTTTTCTGGTCAACCCTGCAGCCTACAGAGACTCCCAACTGCACGTGTAGCGGCAAAGTAGAACGGCAACTGGTGGGTTACGGGGAAGTTGAACCGCTTCTTCGCCATGCTTGGTTCCACGTCAATCTTGTTGGCTACGCAAACCACTGGGATGTCTGGACCTCAGAATGCCAGCCACATGCACGCTCTCAGCACGTTTCGGCCATAGCTATGCCCCGCACAGTAATTGCGAATTTCTTTGTACCACCTCAGTGGCGAACATGCATTGTGTAAAGGCTGCACGCGAACCGCAAACAGGGCTGCGCACGTCTCCAAGTTCTTGTAAGTGATCTTTCGTGTGACGTCAAAGGCCAGAATGCAGGCGTTCGCCTCGCAGTCGCTGTTGGTGGAAACACCCAGCGAAGAAGCTGCTGCAGTCCAAACCATCGGACTCAAAGTGGCCTGGAAATAGTACGATGCATGTAACTTGTCAAACTGCTCCTGTCCGGCGGTGTCCCAAAAGTCTATTGTCCATCTTCTGCCATCCTCGCAATGCTCAGATCCTACTGTCTCAAAAACATGGGCTGCCTCATATCAATTATGCTGAGGTGGACTTAATGCACATGCCGTGTACTTTGTCGTGCGGGTTGTTCAAGCTGTCACCATTCACCTAGTCGTCCTGTCCTCGCCGGTATGGTGGTATCGGAAGAGTGTCAACGCAAAGGTCGACAGAGTTCGCGGGTTATAATCATCCTGAACTGGCGACTGCCCAACACTCTGCGACAGGGCTTTACCCAGCCTTACACTAGAGAAGAGAGTCAGGACATGTCAGGACCAGCATCTAGAAGAAACCGCTCCACCATCTTGGACTTGCCAACGGCAGAGTCTCCACAAAGAATAATTTTCAGATCCTTGGCCCATGGCACTTAGGCCCCCCCGCACTCTGAGCCGACCCCGCTGTTTCCGAGAGCTTAGCCCAACTTGCAGTCCACGTTTCTGCCGGTGACTGGTCGTCTTCCACCGGCGCTCCCGCAGGTTCGGACTCTTCAGCCATGGCTGCAGGACCCTAGCAAGCGAGCAGTTGTGGCAGCGTAGCTAAGGTGGCAAAATTGTCGCTGGGTCTAGTAAACTGTCTGTCGACAGGCGTCGTCCGAGTCGGTGAGGAGCGCTGGTCAACCAAAGCGAATGAATATCCGCAAGCGGACCAGGCAAGTTCGTTCAAAGTTGGACCCCGGAGCCGAGGCTTGGCTGCAGAGAACGTGGCATCACACAGAAATCCCCTATGTCAAAAAGCAGGGCCGCAAAACCCCATTTTCCCAATCCTTTGATCCATTGGGATTTGCTGAAACATGCAATCTCCACCTGTGCCCTTCTTGTCCTCCTTGCAGGGTGAACCCGTTGGCCTTGCAGCTCTGCATGTTCGCAAGCAGCATTCTCATTAACCGTCATGGTAAAGAGTCAGACGATCACGACGACGACAACAACAACCACCACAACCAAAACAACCAGAAGAACAAGGTACACACAAAAACTGCAACCCCGTCAACCATTATGTATGCTTTTTGCCGGTACATTAGGTAAAGACAAAAACAGGAGCCCCGTCGTCTTGTTTTACCCCCAAAACACAACAAGGAACAACTTCTTGCTTTTGTCTCTTCTACACGATTGGAGACAAAACCTGGTGCCCTGTATGCTGTTCTGACGGGGGGTCTGTTGTTCCCTTTCCCCGTTTTGTCTCGTCTACAGACAAGACCTGATGCCCCGTATGTTGTTCTGATGGGTGGAGCTGTTGTTCCGGTCTCTTGTTTAGCTGTTGTTCCTGGCGGTCTTTGTCTGTACATTTGTAGAAGAAACAAAGCCTGGTGCCCCGTGTG